TTTTCGCTAACACGGATATAAAGGAAGGACGACAGTGTAAAATATTATCCGAAAGTGGAAAAGCACCAGGCAGAAGAGAAGCAAGAAGAAGCAAGAAGAAGCTAAATATCACCTATGCTGTACCATACACATTGAATTAAATCTTAACCCAAGGCGAAAGTCGTGATATAGACACAATAAAGAACTGACGGACAAAAGGTAACTACTTACTAAATGGATAAGCACTGAAAAAAGAAGAAGAACGTTTGTGTATATATTCAAACAGCAATCAATAAATTGAATCATTTCGTGTATGCGAATGGAAAGTTAGTTATTGACAGTGTGAAAGTCGGAAATGAATAAAGACGGGAAAGCTGGTTGTGAGATGTGTCTATAACACCAAATTAGAATACTATGAGAATAAGTAAAACAACAGAGAATATAAGGACCAAACAGGATGATAAAATGGAAAAAGACAAATTGCTTCTAAAAATAGAATCAACCAAAGCAGAGAAAAAAGCAAAAAGTATTAACTACAGAAGGTAAATTCAAGGCAAACCGACAGAGTTAATTAATAAAGACATAACAGTATATGACAAAACAAGAAAAAAAAATGATGCTAATTTTCAAGCAATTCAAGGGAGAAAGGATACAGAAAGGACGATTTATAGTAAATTGTAGGAACTAAAGAAAAAAAAGACAGCAGATCGGTAAGAAAATATCCCAGAAGTGATCGAAGAATGATTGGAAATTAAATTGTTAAGAAGAAAACTGATGACTGGAAAGCATCAGGCCCCAATCCATTTTTTCTGACTGACGCTCTTCACAACTATCCGTGACACTAGCATAGCATTTAACCAAAGTATGATGATAATATAAAAAAGCAAGTTATAAAACTCCATGTAATTATGTACCAATAACATGCCTACATGTGACGTGTAACATTTAAACAGCGCAGATAACAGAAGAAATATCTTTTCTTTAGAAAGTCGAGGAAGGTTACCGAATGGGAAGTAATAAAAGGAGTGATTTTCTGTTTTATCTATGAAAATATAATTTAATTGTAATAGTGGCCTGAACTATGTGTATAACGAAAATATGACCGTGTATACATATTTACAAAGGCGAAAGAAAATGTTTGTTATGACATATTTATATAACCTCGAAATTATAACTACAGAAGATAAAATCAGCAATCTATTAAAATTAAAACTTTGGAATGATTTTTGACATTGAGAAACGTGCAGTGTTGGTGATGATCAAAATAAAACAAAAGAAAAGTACCCTGGATATTCTGAAAACAAGATCAATTAAATTGAGATGAAAGGAAAACATGCAAAGAATTCTCTTGAAGAACAAACACAAAATTAGAAAACAAAATTTGTAGCAGAAATTTCAGCAAATAAATAACTTTTATTTTGGGAAATGCTCCGAATCATTATATTAGATAAGAGACGAATTCAAAAACATGGAAGAAAATAAAAAAAACAAAATGTTAGTGTATAAATCTTTTTAACAGAAAAACAATTTTGACAGCAACGATCACGCCCTGAGTTTTCTGCAGTCACGATGACCGCTTCTAATCTTAAGCAGGTTCTGTGTTTAAACGTTTACTGGATCTGAAGTTCACTCGTGGCCCTGAGTAAAATTTATATACTATTCCTGGCACCGATGCTGAGAAAATAGTCGACATTTTTATCAATCCAGGAAATATCCGACACCTTTATTTTTTTTATGCTTTATTTTACAAAGGTCAGTTGAAACCAAAAATGTAGTATCGTTTCCAATCTGGGCTGGCGCTGCTGAACCTTCATTTTCCAGCCTTGATAGTGTTACAATCGGTTACATGGACTTGTAACGGGAAAACGTTACCCTCTCTGCAACCAGAGTTGCAACCATGGCAAACATGTCGCTATTCTGTCGCTATTTACATGTCAAATTTTCTGATGAGCTTTATATTCTTTAGTTTCACCCGTTCACTAATTTACAATTAGGAAACGTCATGACACTTCCACGGAAACGAAATACACTCATCTACTCTCTTTTCGAATGTAATGAAAATTCCACTAAGATAGGTTTTGACAAGAACTACCACTCTCACGTGTGTGCTTGCATGGAGTTTTCAATCCCGGCCTCTTCAAATGTCAATCTTTATCTTTCTATCTTATCCTCATAATCTTAATTTTTCTACCACGTTTTCTTTCATTCATATCACTCGCCTCATTCAGCATTCCGCATTTTGACTGTAACTATCATTTCTGAGTTGCTCTCGAGCATTGTATTAGGTGAAAAAATAGTTTGAAAATATGTTTAAAACTAATATTGTGAGATAATGAATTCGCTAGCATCGAAGATTATGTTGATACTGTAAACAAGGGACTTGGTCGTTCAGAGAAAACTGAGAAAGGCAAAAGAATTACAAGAGACAACGTCTGCAACAGAGCGGACAAGATGTAAAGCTGAGATTGGGGAAAGCAAAAACAAATATCTAACCATGAGAAGAAAACGAATTAACTGGACATATTCAAGGCATCTCAAATGTCGATATAAAAATGACTGTGCAGAGGAAATATAAAAAGAGAAACGAAGTCAACATTAAAAAATAAATAAAAACCTGGGACACGTGATAAGATTCAGTTGTATAAAGGCTACGACAGATGAGACATTAGAGAATTGCGAGAGAAGATTATATGGAAATCAAAACGAGACTATCAGCTACATAGCAAGTGAATGCGGCAGATTAGTTCAGAAGAATTATAAGAACTTTCATGACAGGATGGGTAGGGTGGTCCATGGGGGAGAGGGATTTGCAAGATCAGACATTGTTCCAGATTAATGAAACAACTAGAATCCACTGCGTTTTGAAATTCACACTGATCACCCATTCCAAATCCAAAGATCGGATCTAATAGATGTGAACAAGGAAAAAGTACGTGTCTGGTAGAGGTTTTCCCTGTCCTAGTCGAGAACAGAATAATTTAGAAGAAATTTAAAAGTGAAATAAATATATTAGCTTGTAGATGACAATCATGCCAGTTGCAATCGGGGCTTTGGTAACCGCAACGAAAGTATTATAAAAAAACGTGGAAGAACTGGAAATTCGAAGAAGAATCGAAATTATTCATACGAGCATAGAAGTAAAATCGGCTAGAATGCTGTCGAGAATATTGGAGTATCGGGAAGACATGCAGTCAGGATTTATAGTAAAAGATACCATTCGTTTGAAAACTAATCGAGTGCAAATAATAGTAAAACATAAAATGAGGAAGACAACACGATAAAAATGTTAAAAATATCAGGAAAGACATATCAGAAAATGAAATATTTCCATTGGTTTGCAAACGCACACGTGGTAAAAGAATGATAATAAATGGAGGAAAATAAAGTGATAAGAATGCCTGATCATAAACAATATGCTTCAGAAAGATTAACCTGTAGTGAAACGATATATTGATATATAATCGACGTATTACCAGATACATGTACCTATTTCACTATATATGTAAAGTGTACAATCTATATTTGTGCATGTGCTTGTCAGGGATAATAGTTTGCAAATTAAAATGCAATACTAAACATTCATTATTTTATTACACCGAAATTAATATATATATATATATATATATATATATATATATATATATATATATATATATATATATATATATATATTAGCTCTGTATTCACATTGAGCTCTCAGGATTTCATCCTCCTTGGAATTACATTCTGGTTTACCAAGTTCTTCATAACAACTTATATATATATATATATATATATATATATATATATATATATATATATATATATATATATATATAATGTAACAACTGAAATAAGCTATTTTAAATATCTCACTCGTTGGTCAACGTGACCTGATGAGGTAAGAAAATAACGAACATTCATTGAATCAATTTGTTGTCTCTTTGTCTTTATATAAATAGTGATGACTGTGTTTTGTATACATATACATATTTAAATATATTACACACAATATATTTATATACATCTATCTAAATATGAAGTGACAGAAAGGAAGTGAATAAAATATAATCAGATTATGTATCCATGAAAATTGTAAAGAAAGAGATGAATGAATTTTTGATACACAATCGAAAGATTTATCCTGACAATCAGAAATAAAGACTGACAAAAACTGACGGGCTGATACGTAGATGATACTTAAAATATAAATACCGTTTCTCTTATAAATGTTAGCGTTCATACATTAAACAGGTAGCACTTTAGGATAATACAATTATATGAATAATAATAATAATAATAATAATAATAATAATAATAATAATAATAATAATATGCGCGTTGAATGACCTGATCTTACTGATCTACCATGTCTCAACTAACTTTTTTCTTTTCACTGCACCTGAAAAGCTGTTAGAATATTTATTTGATCATGAGCAAAATCTGGGAAATCGAAGAAGGGATCAACTAGCAAAAATAAAATAAAAAACGGTGTCGATGAAGGGAGCTGTCGAAATTCATCAAAACTCCTATTCTAAGATGGCGTCCGATCGCCTTGAAAACAAAGGACACTAGGTGGCGGTGAGTTGATCCATGCCTAACTCTGCACGCAGTTCTGAACCATATCAAGACCGAGCTACTTTTGCAGTTGTCAAATCGCTGAAAATCTTAGCATATCATCGCAAGCCTATTACTCAATCAATAGCGAATAGAGGGAAATGAAAAAAAATGTTAAGATATTCAATGTATAAGGAATAATGCTGAACGGGTTGATGCTATCACTTTTACAACGGCCACCTTACTTGATCCACTTGTCCATTCACTCAACCAACCAGTTAAATAAACGCCAAAGCCTCGACCACACGTTATTAAAACGGGGGAAATAAAAAAAAATAAAAAGTTAACAGAAAATGTTGCTTGAAATGCTGCTGATACTACAAGGACTGAGCAGAAGCAGTAGCAATCAAAGGAGAATAATGGAAATAATAATAATAATAATAATAATAATAATAATAATAATAATAATAAATATAGAAAGAAAGTTATATAATTAGGGAGTGGGCAAAGAGAGAAAGTGTAAAGAGGGGACAGAGATGAACGTAGAAAGAATATGCATAGTTTATAAACATAAAAATAAATGAAGATAATGAAAGAATTATTAAGAATGAATCCCGAATAGAAGAAAAGAAAAAGTTTAAGTAATCGATAAAGAATAAAGAAGGGCAATAACTGAATAGAAAATCTAAAATAAAGAAAGAATAATGTGAATAAGATGTTGGGTTAAAGGGGAAAGGCAGGGTCAGAAAAGAAAGACGTACAGTAAAAATACGAAAAGAAGAATTTGGGTCAAAAAAGAAAGATATAGTATTATAGAGAAAGAAAAAAGTTGAATCGAAAAAGGAGAAATATATTCTACCAGAAAGAACTATTCAAACAACTATGCGAAGCATGTTCAACTGGAAATAAAAGGAAGCTACAGCGTCGAAAGATAGATAGATAGATAGATAGATAGATAGATAGAGAGAGAGAGAGAGAGAGAGAGAGAGAGAGATGGAGAGAGATGGAGAGATAGAGAAAGAGAGAGGAAAAATGAAAATGTGAGAAATTAAAAGAAAAAAGTAAAAGATAACCTGAATTCATTTAGAGACTCAGCAAACATGAAAAGGATCGATTTAAAAAATAAAGACAGATATAAAAAAGAAAATGAAGCCAAAATGAAGGAATTTTGAAAGACAAGCAGAAGAAACGGAATGAAACGAAAGAGAAAAACACTAAAACTAAAATGGTCATGAAAGAGTAGAATAAAATGAAAAAGAAAAAGACACAATTTGGTTTGATTAACACAGTGGGCTGGGTTTTTGAATTTAGTCAAGTAGACGAAGAAAAATTCTATGTAATCAGTGCGCGTTGCCATTGGCTGCTTTCAGCAACGGCTGATCGGAAAGAGCTGACCTCTGCGCTGACCAAGCCAGTCACGTGTGAATATACGAGACGTCCGCCTCGCATCAAAAGTGAAATGCTAGCTTTTGATCGTCGAGACATCGTGGCCCTCGACCTCACTTAGTGGGATTGAAATGCGTAACATCAAGAGGCATTACTGCTAGGAAAGCTGAAATGCATAAACGTGTCTGTTAGAATTGCGCTCACTGGCACAAGATTGGAGGATACTGGTCTTAGTAAAAGGTTGACGCGAAGAGGAGGAGAAGGAGGTTTGTTAGTTGCGTGGTCGGAGAACGAAAAGAAGAGGAAAGGAGATAAGGGATCGGTAGAGCTTTGAAGTGGAAGCGGGGGTGAGAAGATTTGGCGATTGAGAAGTGGATGTGGTTGAAAGGGTGGTTTTGAAAGAAAATGATAAAAATGATATGGATTATAAAGATTATGGTTATTATGATGATGTTAACTATAAAGTAAACACGACGAAGAACTAAGAGAAGGAAAGAATATAGCAAAAGGATTAAAGAAAGAAATCAATCAATGAGTGGCTCAGAAATTATTTGGAAGAAAAGTGAATAAAAAGAAATTAAACAGAGAAGGAGTTAAATGCATGGAAAGAAGAAGGTAAAAAAAATAATAATAGCAAGAGAGAAATTAAATAAAAAGAATAATGGGAAAAGTGAGGAAGTAAAAGAAAGAATAATAGAGAGGGAGAGAGAGAAAGTAAAAGAATAATAGGAAGAGTGAGGAAATAAAAGAAAAAATAATAGAAAAGGACAGGATGTAAAAGAAAGAGTAATAGTAAGAGAGAGGAAGTAAAAGAAAGAATAATAGGAAGAGAGAGGAAGTAAAAGAAAGAATAATAGAGAGAGAGAGAGAGAGAAAGTAAAAGAATAATAGGAAGAGAGAGGAAATAAAAGAAAAATAATAGAAAAAGAGAGGAAATAAAAGAAATAATAATAGAAAAGGACAGGATGTAAAAGAAAGACTAATAGTAAGAGAGAGGAAGTAAAAGAAAGAATAATAGTAAGAGAGAGGAAGTAAAAGAAAGACTAATAGTAAGAGAGAGGAAGTAAAAGAAAGAATAATAGGAAGAGAGAGGAAGTAAAAGAAAAATTAATAGAAAAAGAGAGGAAGTAAAAGAAATAATAATAGAAAAGGACAGGATGTAAAAAGAAAGAGTAATAGTAAAGAGAGAAGTAAAAGAAAGAATAATAGGAAAGAGAGGAAGTAAAAAAGAAAAATAGGAAGAGAGAGGAAATAAAAGAAAGAATAGCAGAAAAAGAGAGGAAGTAAAAGAAAGTATAATAGGAAAAGTGAGGAAGTAAAAGAAAGAATAATAGGAAGAGAGAGGAAGTAAAAGAAAGAATAATAGGAAGAGAGAGGAAGTAAAAGAAAGAATAATAGGAAGAGAGAGGAAATAAAAGAAAGAATAGCAGAAAAAGAGAGGAAGTAAAAGAAAGAATAATAGGAAGAGAGAGGAAGTAAAAGAAAGAATAATAGAGAGAGAGAGAGAGAGAGAGAGAGAAAGTAAAAGCATAATAAGAAGAGAGAGGAAATAAAAGAAAAATAATAGAAAAAGAGAGGAAATAAAAGAAATAATAATAGAAAAGGACAGGATGTAAAAGAAAGACTAATAGTAAGAGAGAGGAAGTAAAAGAAAGAATAATAGTAAGAGAGAGGAAGTAAAAGAAAGACTAATAGTAAGAGAGAGGAAGTAAAAGAAAGAATAATAGGAAGAGAGAGGAAGTAAAAGAAAAATTAATAGAAAAAGAGAGGAAGTAAAAGTAAAATTAATAGAAAAAGAGAGGAAGTAAAAGAAATAATAATAGAAAAGGACAGGATGTAAAAGAAAGAGTAATAGTAAGAGAGAGGAAGTAAAAGAAAGAATAATAGGAAGAGAGAGGAAGTAAAAGAAAAATAGGAAGAGAGAGGAAATAAAAGAAAGAATAGCAGAAAAAGAGAGGAAGTAAAAGAAAGTATAATAGGAAAAGTGAGGAAATAAAAGAAAGAATAATAGGAAGAGAGAGGAAGTAAAAGAAAGACTAATAGGAAGAGAGAGGAAGTAAAAGAAAGGGAAAATAATAAAACAAATGAACCTTGTGATAATTAAAGTGAGCAGAATGAAAAGTGACAAACAAAACAAAAGACTTAAAGATAAACGGAAAAAGTTAAGAACAAAGACAAGTAATAAAACTAAAGCGATGTCGATATTTAAAAACAAAGAAATATAATTTCTTTCTAAAAAGAGGAGTTAAAAATAAGAAAATTTATGTGAAGAGATTTAAAAATCATAAAGATAACATACAAAATGAGTATCGTGTAATAGATCAAAAACAAAACCACAGGGTGGGGGAGAAAAACGAAAAAGAGAATGAAATGATGAAAAGGAGAATGAAATAAAAGAGAGTATCATGAAGAAATGTTAAAGAACAAAAGGTTTTCAAAACTCGTGCTTGTGAACAAAGAAGAACGATAAGCATTTGAAATATAGACAAAATGTGGACAGAATGAAAACACCAATTAACAATGGGAATATGAATAGTTGAAAGATGGAAGGTCAAAATTGTAACGTAAAAGGATAAGAGTAACAAAGAGAAGAAAGGCAGGAAAGGAAAACAAAAACATTAAAGAAATAAGAGATTCGATGAAGCAGATTAGAGAAAGAAAAATTATTAAAATTTAAATATACGTAAAGAATGATAAAATTGTGATATAAGCAACAATAAGGACATATATCTGGTTGGTAGTCAATGAATGCATTGTGTTGAAGACGAAAACTATAAAAGAAAACTGAGAATGAAAACAGGGACATACCACCCACTTGAAAACATAAAAATGAAAACAAAAATGTTACCTATTTTTCCTACCCAATAAAATAACGAAAATAAAAATAAAGAGAAAACAGTTGAAAAATCGACGTCATTAAAAACCAATCAATGGTGTTATTAAATAAAAGTTGATCATTTACACTATTTGCAATGTTCGGACTGTTGTCCTCATCTTGGTTGTCATATTCACGACGTTTTGGCCATTGTACGCTCCGGACTTCTTCAGGTGACTGGAATTTCGAACCGAACCATTTATTTGACCCACCGCGGTAGATTCTTCTAGTTCCACATCCGCATGATATTTATGCTACTCAACATGTTCTGCAAGCTTTCGAAAATATATATGCAAAATATGTATGGGCTATGATGGAACAACGCCTGACACTTTCAGTTAGCCCTACTACAACAGCTACTGTATTGTTAACATGTGCAAAGAGCGGGGGATACTATATCGCAGGATTAAATTCGCCATTTTTATGGTAATATGCATGCGATACTACAGGCCTGTGTTAAACACGCAGGATAATATACAATGCATTAATATCGGGTCTTGATAAAATCGATGCATCCTCTATTTTGGAAACTGTATACATATATTGTAATCATTTTTTGTAATCCCGCTATATTTTCAGTGCATTTAATTTAAAATAAATTGAATGAGTGTTAAAATATTTTCCGTCAGTGTATATGCATGTACTATCTAAAAAGCGAAAAGAAAAACGTGTTTTCTAATGTTTTCCCTATATTTACAAGGAATTTTATCAATATAAATGTAAGATGCATCAGTTTCAAAAGATTAACTGAATAAAATGAAAATAAATTTAAATTAAGTGCAATATCTTAAATACAATAGAAAATCATATTTAAACAAAATTTCAAATGATAAACGCGGGATATAAAGTTGGAATAGATGTTGAAAAAAATTTAAATGCAAAATTAAAACGTTTTTATATTATATTTCATAGAGAGTGGCATATATATAATTGTCTATTATATGAGGTTAAAATTTTCAATGTATTTTTTCAATTACTCCTGAATTAATTTGACATAGAGTGTAAATATATATGCATATATACTCGCAGTATTTATATACATAGTTTTTACATGTAATTATTGTGAATACTATTATAACTATAAGAAGTGCTCCTTACTAAATAAGATTATTGAAGGTGAGTTTACCCATCATCCTATACATAATGAGTTAGACTTTTCTTCCTTGATAATGTAATATATCTATAAATTAATCTATTAAAGCCCACTGTAAAATTCCCTATTACTTATAAAAACGAAAACAAATTCTCGGTATTAGTTATAGTTTTCTAAAAGCATTAATTATTGGTTTATAAAGATCTTGTATCAATCTGCCTATTAATGCATGACGTCTCCGAAAAGGATGATAGACATTAATCAGATGAACTATTCCATGAAAAAAAAAGTATACATTTCAAATTTTGTCCACCTTAGATTTTATTAATTAATTTTACCGAAATTAATATATTTTCATTTCGGAATAAAGGCTTTTGTTTCAAACACAAAATTTCTCAAATATTAGAACTTGAACAAAAATATTCTGTGTTCATATTGCACATTTTATACTGAAACTCTTACCACTCAGTTCCAAGTCTCTAGGCATAACTGCAATAGCAAGAACTATATGGAGTTTTCTGCAGTAGAATAATAGATATATTTAGTTACAGAGAAGGCCATTGTGGCATACAAAATATAACATTCGATCAGAAAACAGTTCACAAAGAATACGCTATCATCTCGAAGCACTAATCACTAAATACAACTCATCAACAGTCTTTAGGCGCACCCTCGACCTTAAAAAGCAAACCGTTTGAGCAAACACTTCTCCGAATGGTTCTAGAAAATTAATCATTCAACATTCACTAATATCTATTGTCTGTCCCATCGATCTAACTGGGACTTCTTTTGTTCCGTTCTGAAACTTATTCAACCTGATACGATCAGTGATCGACCTGCCTTTGTCAGCGCTTCTTTTAAACCAAATCCAAATAGACACGCATATGCAATCACCCGAGAGGGCGAGTTTACAGAAGGACTATTATTGTTTTTTCTTTTGTTTAGTATTTTTTCTTTTTTATGATGTGTGGGGTGAGTTTAATCATTAGGTGCTATGTAGTGTACTCTAAGATGTAAACACTCAACAGCATATTGTCTAATTGCTTAAGAGATAGAAGCTGTTTTTGTTAAGCATGTGATAATTTACTCTATTGAAGGAGATTCTATTATACAGACTTTACTGAATAATACATTCAGTTGCAAGATTTTTTATACTTTCTTTTTTTTAAACGGGAACTAACCCCAACACTTTGCCTCACTTAGATTTTTATCAAAGCAGCATTGTCATCGAGACAGATATAAGCTGGGTAATGTGAAAGGTAATATTAACAAAATTGGATGACTCTTGGTAGTCACCGTAGCTTGAAACCGAATCACACATATGAGAACAAAATGTAGCGTTTTGTTAGTAAACAACGAAAAAGACCTAAGGATTCTCCAAAAGCATTATTTTTCCGTCAATGAATTAATCATTTTTAATGGTGGACTAAGTTATGATTTTAAAAGATAAACTTAATTCGACAGTTTTGCTTCAGTGTTATCGACGGAAAATCCTAATGAAGTTTATAGGAAAACAATATTTCGCATATATTCTTCTTCGCTTTAACGTCTTCCGATTGTTGGGGCCCATGGCTCTCCACAACATCCTATCCTTTGTAACTCTTAATAAACTGTATCTATTATCTCTCCTTATACCTGTTCTGCCAAACATGCTCACTAGGTAGGTGATTCGTTGTTTTCCTCTGTCCCTCTTGCCTTCAATGTGTATGTATCACGTTTTCCAGGCTCTCTTTCCTCGTTATCTTTTGATGTTCAGTATAAATGTCCTATTTGTTTTCATCTTCTCTAAAACTTCGTTGTTGCTCACATGTTAAGTCCATTGTATTCTCAGTATTCTACTTTAGCACGACGAGAGACAGTTAACATTTCTAGGGTACATAATAATGAAAGAGGATTTGGAAAAGTTGACGCTCATATGACATATTGAACGCAAGAGGGACATAGGAAAACGTCACATAGCCTACTTAACGAGTTTGTGTAAATGGATGGCAGAACAGGAGAGATAGAAGAATAGGAGAGATAGCGAAAACACAAAATATAATAAGAGTTACAAAGGACGGGAAATTGTGGCGAGCAATGGTCGCCAACGCTCTGAAGAGTTATGGTACATAGAAGACGAATAGTAACAGAAAAAACGTAGATACAAGTTGAAATTAACTATAAAAAAACAAAAAAAAACTAGTGTAATTCCTCTTAAGCTACCATCTTTTTGGCCAACCCTTATCAAAGAGAATCGTTCAGAAGATAAAATATTAAAATATGAGGTAAAACATTTTAAAAGGAAAATTCATCTGTCATGTACCGTAAATCTAGAAAATTAATCATTCAGCAACATTTACTAATATCTATTGTCTGTTCCATCGATTTAACTAGATATTAAAGTGGATGATATTTCTATTTGATTTCACATCTCCTAGAGGCAATTTGTTATAATATCAATGACTCTTTCCAAGAAAAAAAAATATGGCCTTTATCCTTAATCAGGTATTGTTTCCTTAGCTTTTTTATTTTCTGCGTTGCACACGGCATATACAATAACATTGTCATATTCTTTTAAATTAAGCTGTAAATCTCTATCCAAAAGCTGAAACAGTAAATGTATGTAAGATGGATATAAAAAAATATTCAGAAATACAAATTGGTAATATTTAATATCAAGATACAATCTATTATTTTCTGGAGATAGCTCGTTCGAGTTTTTTAGTAATCCAGGTATGTTATTTTTAAATAGCGTATTGATACTTGTTTGAAATCGGAACTTTGACTCCAAGATTATCTCCAAATTGCACCGTCTTGTTGTTAATATATATTTTTAACAATCATCAATATAAGCACATGAGATCGAATACATAGTAACCGTCCAGAAAGATAAATTATACCTACAAATGGGTGGCAGAAGTATCAACGGCTAGCTAACAGCGGGAAGAATGAGAATGCACGCCCCTATTCATTGCAAACCAACCATAACAATGCAGAACATAAATACAGAACCGAAAATGACGTGAACTTCTTAACCAGTTAGGAGTGACATGTGCGACAGGTGTTGCCTGATAATCATCTAATAACAGTACGTAACAAAGAAAATATCATAATCTGGATATGAAATGTTAGGTGCACTGCACCAATGCAGAAATTTAGAAAATGTAAAACGGAAAATGGGAAGGCTAGATATGAACATTCTGGGAGTATGTGAAACTAGATGAATAAACAAGGTGGGGGGGGGCTTTACAAGCGACGATTACATAATCGCATAGTAACAGCTGTAAAAATCATTCCAGTGGAAGAGAGGCAAGAAAAGATGTGGATGACAGAGGAAATTCTCGAGCTATTGATCGTGAGAACTGATAAAGCCAAGAAATGGCACATAATATTGGATGCTGAGAAAAAAAAAACAATAGAAATAAAAGCAAGCAAGCAAATGATGAATGGCTCAACTAGAAGTGTGTAGAAACAGAAAAGAGACAGAACATAGACATAGCAGGTATACATAAAAAAGATAAAAGAAA